CCTGCCGGTCCCGAGGGGGTTCGGAGCTGACAGTGAGAGCCGGTTCTGGCCGGGGAGAGACCCAGTGAGGCCACAGTTACCCACCTCCACGCCCTCGATCCGAGAGTGGGAGGGGAGGGGGGACTCTCACGCGTGTCCTGTGAAAGTCAGGCTTTGTGAGGCTTCAACAGCAGAGGTGCGTAGAGTTGTTCCATACCCCAACAGCCCTTTGGGTAAAGGAGTGCCTCCTGTTCTGTGAGGAGGTTGCAGTGAGGTGAGCTAGCTCACAGCACACCTTCAGGGGTTTGGGGTGCTTGTCCTCGGCAGCGGTGCAGTCGCTGGAGGTGTGAGTTTGGGGTGCTGTTCCTCGGGCAGGGGTGCAGTCGCTGCAGGTGTTGGGGGACACTCCGGCTGGGATGGGCGTGGCTCTGGAGTTGCTCGGGGTTTATGGGAGCTGCTGGGACACCAGCACTCTTCATGTGATAAAAGCACAGCGCCCGCAGGCTCCGTGACGCCTGTGCTCCAGGCCAGGGGCTCGTCAGACTGTCGTCAGGCTGCAGCCTGCCCTGGTTTGTGGTTTCTGGGGGTGGAGTGGACAGACAGCACGAGGCTCTTCACAGGCGAGGGGCCAGCTCACAGGATACCTCCCCAGCATTCATCTGCTTAGCAGTCCAGCTTCGTCCTGTAAAGGGGATCGTCATCCAGTCCAGCAGCTTGTTCCACCCACCTACAACTCGGTGCGTAGAGCCGTGTCTCCTATTGTCTGTCCTGAAAATAATTCCACTTGCAGTAACTTCCAACTGAGCATGAAATGCTTACAGATGTTGTGTTGGGATGACACGCATCATTGACGTTTAAGAGTTTGAGTATGAAGAACTCGAATGTCCTGGTAGTCTTGTCACATTCAAGGCTCTAGACATCGTGATCTTTTTGACTTCATTAGCCTGAGTTGTGGCACCAGTGTTTTTTGAAGTACTGCTGATTCCAGTGCTGGGCACAGTTTACCCCTTATGATCTGCAGTGCACTGTACAGACCGGACATGTGCTCTCAGTTCGACTCTGAGCTCTGACTACCTCATACCAGAAGATTTCACTCCCGTACTTCTGATGGGAACAGCAAAGCTTGCCCTGCCCTAAAACCGGATTTTAAATCTCCCCACTGGATTTCTAGAAATCCCTCTTGTTAAGGACCCTGATTTAAAATGCTAAATCAATCTGGACGCCACGATTGTGTTTTTCGGTGAACGCAGAGTCCCCTGAGCCGAGCGATAGCTTCTGGTCCGGCTGTGTTGAGGGTGTGTCGTCCCCCACTGACTCTGTGGACTGGGCAGGGCTCTAGGGTGGGCTGCATAGTGTACTCCATCCCACAGGAACCAAAAGGGCTGCCCTGGTCCCCTGTCTATAGAGGTGGGCCGGACACGGACCGTGAGCAGTCCCACAGCAGTGAGCGTGGACCAGTCTTCTCCTGGCAGGTGAAAGCCAGGTGTGATGAGGTGCTGGTCCCCACTCTTGAGCCCAGGTGTCGTCTGCGTAGGCGTCTTGCTGGGGAGGGATCTTCTTGATCGGCTTTCTTGAGGGCAGACGGGTCTTTTTTTTGCTGTGATCGCTATAAGCCCTTCTCACCAATAAGAAGAGCGTATCTGCATGACTACTGATTTCCCTTCAGCAGTGTGAGCCTGTACCTCTGGGGTGACGAAGGGGGTCCCCTCCTACACATGCAGAGCACTGTGGGTGCGAAGTGCCAGACAGATGCTGCCTTCTAGGCAAGGTGGATGTTTTCAGTTCAAGCCTCCTGAGTGGTATTATCATCCTGATTATAATAATTCCTCACACTTATATTGCGCTTTTCTGGACACTCCACTCAAAGCGCTTTACAGCTAATGGGGATCCCCTCCACCACCCCCAGTACGCAGCCCCACCTGGATGATGCTCCAGTCCTCTCCCCACACAGCAGCTCTCAGTGGGGAGGAGAGCAGAGTGATGAAGCCAGTTCAGAGAGGGGGGTTATTAGGAGGCCATGACTGGTAAAGGCCAGGGGGGAGATTTGTCCAGGATGCTAAGATAACACCCCTGCTCTTTTTGAGAAACACCCTGGGCTTTTTAATGACCCCAGAAGTCAGGACCTTGGTTTTACGTCTGATGCTTGCTTTGGCGTTGCTGTCGGGGACACTGTTGTCCACTTTTAGCCTCTGCGAATCGCTCTGGGTGGGAGAGTCCTCTGCAGACAGCTCCTGTGTCCCAAAGCCAGGTGTCCCGAATGCTGCTTTCTCTGCGGAGTTGCGTAAAGGCGCGTGTGCGTGTGAAACCCACACGCAGGGCCGTAGGAGATCATGAGGGATTACGCCCCGGGCTTTGGCTCGGCTGTGCTGTGCCATGTGTGACAGCGAAGGAGCGAGCCCATGTGAGCCTGTGTGCCTCCATTCACTGATCTGTGTGGGTAACCTTACTGCGCTGCGTGGGAGGGCACTTGAATGAGCTAAACATGTGGGCTTGTGTCTGCTTGTGTGTGTGTGTGTGTGTGTGCGTGCTCTAAGCTCATTATCTCCAGCAGGATCCGCTGCTGTCTGGGATAGACCCGCCCAAGCCCATCTCGCACTGTCCCTGCACCCCTGAAGTGTCCTTTGCAAATGAGTGTTTATATAGAGGCAGTTCTGCCTGGACGCTGTATGAAGCTCGTCTGCTGCTGAGCGCCGCGCCCTGTTTTAAGCCCTTGACGGTGCTTGCACATGACCGCAGCTGCTGTCCTGAGGTTTCCTCACAACAGAGGTATCTGAACGGCTCTAGCGTCCCGGTGGGGGTATGGGTGTTTGTTTTCAAGGGCGTCTCTGTGTTTGTGTCTGGAAGGCAAGCCATGTGATTTTATTAAAGGGAATTGGCGCCCCCTCATGGAGAGGAATGTTTGCCTACGTCATCCTTGGTATGGTGGGTGGCATGGCCCGTGGGCATACTGAGTTGTGAGGGGCATAACGGTGCTGTATAACAATGGGGCCCGTTTGCAACAGTAGGTCTCCCCTTGACCTTGCCGTGGTCATTGCTTCGCAATACAAGGAGAATATCCACTCCGCCTCTGCTGTAGGAACATCGTGGTGCAGCTCGAGCTCATCTGTGATCAGATTGAGTTTGATTTGACTTCCTGTCGGGAGTCTCTGACTCTTACACCATCAAACCCTCTTATACTGTAGCTTGTCATCCTGTTTAAGTGTGTTAAATTGTCTGTTCGTGTCTTTCTGGTTTTGTTCTTGTATTGTAAACTGGCTTGAAATGACATCACAAAAGGCTCTGTACAATCTGAACACGAAGCCTGATGCTGTAGTCCGTGTCATAGCCTGTGTCCAGAGTCAGGGTGAGGTCATTGGGCACGAGTTAGCAGACCAGTGGAGGTGCAGCATGAAAACCGTGGGTGCCCTTTGCTCGAGGCTGAGCGTGTAGGGTGGCTGATGGTGGGGAGAGGTCTGCGGAATGTTCTTCAAGTTGCATCGCGTGGTGCCTGGAAGCAGGGCTGTTTTGTCTGCGATGGCAGAGCCTGCCGGAGCTGGGTGTGCGGGCCGAGGAGGAGGAGGGGGCGGCCGTGCTGCGGCTGCTGACACAGGCATGTGGATCAGCGCGCGGGGGGGAGCACATGGCGCGCAGCGTGCTGCCGCCCGGCCGCTCTGACGCGCCGCGGCGCTCCAGGCCGCCGGCCGCACGTGCTCAGAGCACTGCTTCTGCCTGCGCGGGGGCAGGGGCGGGGGGGGGAGGGGCAGTGGAAAGGGACACTTCGGAGGCTTTGTTTCCTCGCTCTCTTCAGGGACATGCAGGAATCTCCATACTGCAGGCTCACAGCTCGCAGGCTCCCGTTTACAGCCTCTGCAATGACTGCTTTCATCTCTGGGATTAGTGGAGTTTCATGGCTTACATTTCCATCCTTTAAGTTGTGTTTTTCACACCTACACACACACACACACACACACACACACACACACACACACACACACACACGTCACTGGTTGCTGCTGTGATGGTGATTTAGCTTTGCTCTCCCTGGTGGTCAGTGACTGCTGTACGCCCATCTCCATCCCTCTGTGTGCTGGTGTCCGGTGTAGGAGAAGAGAGCCACAGGTTCAGCCCAGCTTGCAGAATGTCTGTGAAGGTCTCCCCTTGCTGGAGCTGGGCTTTCTCCTGTCGATGCGTCCTCTGGGAGTTCTGCATTCCCTGTGGGCCGGGATACAGGGGTGCAGTGTATCCATCCTGCTGCGGTGTCCTTCGATCGCCTTGTGGAATTCCTCCAAGCTCTTGGGGTTCGGACAGAGGGTGCATGTTCAAGGATGACCCACTGCGGGGGAGATGGCGGTACAGTCAGTGCTTTACTGTGTTTCACAGCTCTGGACCCCTGGACCCTGACCGCAGTGACCAGTAGGAGTGCACCATCCTTTGTGTTTAAAATCAAGCTGATTAGTTATTGACTTGCATTCGCTTGTAATTCCTGAGTTGACCTCTCCCCCGGTGGGCTTTGCCACTGTATCAGCTTTCTGGTTCCCTGGGCTCCGGGGGAAGTCTGGGCGCATGAGGCTGAAGAGCAGAATAACGCCGACTGGCACAGCCAGCTTCTGCCCCCGGCTCTGACCTCCTGCTCTCTCTCTCTCTCTCCCCCCCCCGCAGGCTGTGGGCACCATGCCACAGGAGAAGCAGTGCCCGGGGGAGCGCCCGCCCCGCAGTGCCAGCAAGAACGCCAAGGAGAAGAGCAACAGCGCCGCCCTGCGGGCCGAGCTGGGCGCGGCGGGGCTGGGCCGCGTGGGGGGGCCCGGCTCCCGCTGCGAGTCGGAGAAGGACTCCGGCTACTCCGGTGAGGGCGCGCACACGGAACACGGCCTCCGGCGGTCGCGGTCGCGGTGTCGGGGTGCGACACAGGCTCAGGCCCTCGCTGGTGCGCCCCTGAGCCTGTCCTGGGGTTGGCATTCCTCTGACCCCCCGCCAGGCACTGCGGGCGAGATGTACGCCGAGCTGCAGCCTGACCCGCTTGACCCACGCGGCAGCAGTTTGTCACGCCTGAGAGTGAGCGAACACAAGCCTGTTTTGGGGCGACGCTGTACAGCGATGGTCAGGAGACTTGGCTCCCAGGAGGGGGCAAGGCTTCGGCACCCTGCTGTCGGTGCCCAGCAGAGCAAACAGGCCCCAGGGTATGAGTGTAAACAGAAGTGGAGGTCACTCTCCACTGGGCGTCTGGCTGTGCAGGAGTGTTGGTGCTAACGCGTACTATTCCTCAAACAAGCGTGTGACTAGAGCACAGTCCTCCCTGCTCCTGGAGAGCCTCAGTCCTGCAGGATTAATGGACGCTGGGGAACAGGCACATTGTTCAGTCGAGTCGTTTAGAGAGCATCTGAAAACACCACCCTGTAGCTTAAACCGGAACCAAGTCTTTGCCAAGTGAGGATTTCAGGGTGACCTGTGGGGGTTCAGTGGCCTGTCGCTCCCCAGGACTGGAGCTGGGATTCTTGGGTCAGGACCTGGAGGACGAGCTCTGCTCCTCTCAGTGGTCAAAAGGCGAACTAATGGAGATCCTGCTGGCTGCATGGTGACACCCTTGGACCAGCAAGCAGCTGAGGAGGATGGGCTGCAGTGGTGGGTTCGAGCCCTGACATGCCCAGCTTCCTCTCTTGGGGGAGAATCCCAAGGGTTTACTGCCCTCTGCTGGCATTGCCAGGTATTGCTTCCAGGCAACTACCTGGGCTGCCCAGTTGTTCTAATTACTACTACTACTAATAATAATCCTTACACTTATATAGCGCTTTTCTGGACACTCCACTCAAAGCGCTTTACAGGTAATGGGGATCCCCTCCACCACCACCAGTGTGCAGCCCCACCTGGATGATGCGACGGCAGCCAAAGGGCACCAGAACGCTCACCACACATCAGCTGTTAGTGTGGAGGAGAGCAGATTGATGAAGCCAGTTCAGAGAGGGGGATTATTAGGAGGCCATGATTGGTGAGGGCCAATGGGAAATTTGGCCAGGACACCAGGGTTGATGACTGGCTTGATCGCAGCAGTTTTACACTCTTCGCTGACCCTAATGTACTGGAGAGGTCAAGAAGGTCATAAGAACTGTTGGAGGTCTGCAGCCCTGGATGAGACTCTGTCTCTGATATCCAGTACAATGGAAGTAAGCTTAAAGGGGAACTGCAATGCTGTTTTTGTATTTTGGGGTTAGAAAGAATCAGAATTGATGAGCGCATTTCAAACTACAATGAAAGCAAAACGTACCCAGTAACTTGGTAAAACCTCCAATTAACATCACAAAATTTCCAGGTATGGGCACCACCGAGCTCTGCCATTCAGAACAAGCCAACAAAACTTCCAGTGAGGTGAAGTGAGCCTGTGACACTGTAAACTAGCAGGCTTGTGAATCTCTTTTAATCTTGTTAACTTGTTAACTCTGCATGGCGATCACATTGGAACACTTCTACAGGGAAAAATCTGTTGCCAAACCTGTAAATGAATTGACGGGAACTATTTGCGTTCCCGTCAATTCATTTATTTTGTTATCGCGATTTAATCATCAGTCTGAGAAACTGGAACTGCAGTTTATATTGATCAGACAGTCCAGAGGAAGGACAGGGGTGTCCCTCTGCACTCTGGAGCGTGAGTCCGTGACTCCGGCCCCTGCGACAGGCTGTGTCCTCTCCTCCCTGCAGACGGCGGCTCGGACTGCCTCCAGACCGACCCGCAGGACCAGCGGAGCGGCGTGAGGCAGCACTGCGGGGTCCCGGGCCGGGGGGCCGCCTTTGGGGACCTGACGCCCGTCTACATCGTGAAGAACCTGGTGCTGAAGCAGGTCAGCATGCCTGGCTGGCGGTGGTGGTGGGGGATGAGGTCTGCATGCCAAGCCTAAGCCTAAACCGGAAATTCTGGGCTTTCCTCTGTCACTTCCAAATTAGTGTGTCTGCTTTAATATCCCCATTTGTGTTATGCTTGTTGTTCTGTGCACTGACCTCTAGAGGTCATCATGCCCTCATACTGGGCCAAAAGCACCACTGCAGCACTGTCAGCCCCCTGTATCTGAGCTGGGTTTTTGCTGTTGGTAATGAGTGTCCAGCAGGCATAACACATGCTATTTACTATTCCAGTGAATGGCCTTGTTCACAGACCTCACCGGTGCTGCGCCTTCTCCGCGTACAAGATTAAAAGGCCGCGGGGTTGTGGGTACGTTAGTGCGTGTTCTCCATTTCCATCTGTAGCTCCTCCCAACCCACCCCCCAGTGCACCGTGGGATTGCCCTCCCACGGGAGGGAAGCAAAGGGAGCCTTTCCCAGCCCGGAGAGCTGCTGCGATGAACAGGAGTCACAGACGCGCACAGGCGCACAAACAAGACCCAGCAACCCGAGCCCCGCGAGTAACAGTGGGGGTCTTGTAGGTGGGAGGGAGAGCTGGAGTTGGATTCGGACTCTTTTGGGATCTGAGCGTGCAGGAATTAAGATCGCTTTGCATTCTGGGCAGCTCCGTCGTCATTGGCTCTTAAATAAACGGCTTGGCCTGCCATGACAGCCCAGGATACAAGTTCAGGGGGATAACGTGAATTGGACGTGTCCGTGCAGTTAGAGATGTCCGTTTCAGCGCACCGTTGGCTGAGACCTTAAAGGGGCGTGTTGCTGTGCCGTCCTTACCCTGCCCTGTCTACGGTGAAATGCCATTCATCCTGGCACAGCTGCACAGCCAGTCACCTGGCGCCCTGTGTGTTCTGCAATGACCCCTGCCTTCCAATCCTGTCCCTGTGTCTCTGCAGACCCCCTCTGACCAGATCCTCCATGGCCAGCTGGCGTGGGGAGGGCAGCACGCCGTGGGCAGTGCCAGCGGGCAGCCCGCCGCCCAGCTCCTCTTCATTCAGCAGCCGGGAGCGGGCACTGGTGCCGCCGCCGCCTCCCCCGGCCCCCTCAAGCCCCAGCCCAAGAAGGCTGGCAGAGACACCTACCTGCCCATCCTCCACTCCTACCCCCGCATCGCGCCGCACCCCAGCAAGGGCGGGCCAGCGGGGACGGCAGCGGGGGGCGGGGTCCCGGCCGAGGCCCTGCGGGGCCACTGCCAGAGCAAGCGGGTGTGCGTGGAGGACAGGAGGGAGGTGGTGACCTCTTCCGAGCTCCCGGAGCAGGACGCCAAGCCCAAGCCGCCAGGCCTGCGGCCCGCCCCCCCCGGCGTCCCGCCAGCCAGCCCCCCCGAGCCCTCCGGCGTGGGCTCCCCCTCCGTCTCCAGCTCCGAGGCGCCCCCCCAGGAAGCCCGGGCCGCCAGGAAGCACGTCTCCAACCTGGCCAAGCAGCGCCGGTTCCTGAACACGGTGGAGATCCTCAGCCACTCGGGCCTGCTGGGCATCACGCTGCGCACCAAGGAGCTGATCCGGCAGAGCTGCAGCACCAAGCGCGAGATCGCCGAGCTGCGCCAGCACACGCACCTGCTCTGCCAGGCCGTCCACACCAACGACCCCCGGGCCTGGGCCCAGCTGGAGGAGGCCATGGTGTCCTCGGGCCACTCCCCCGACCTGGACCGGGGGCTGTGCTGCGCCGCCCGCCCCGCCAACACGCAGGGGAAGAGCCCCCGCCTCGCCGGGCCGGCGGCCCCCGGCCTGCCCCCGGAGGGGCCCGGAGCGCCGCCCCCCTCTCCCGGCCGCGCGATTGACCTGAGCAGGCGGCGGAGAGCGGCCCCCCTGTCCCCCCTGAACGTGCCACCCGACAGCTCCACCCACGCGTGCCTGTCCTAACGCTGGCCAGAGGACCGAGGAGGCGTCTCCCCATCGACGGACACTCCGCGGTGGCGCCACTGTGTGGTCGGCACCGGTAATGCGACGCAGCAGGGCTTCTGGATTCGAACTGATCCAGATCCCGAATTTCTCTCCAGGCTGCTGCGTGAGGAAAGCCCGCACCGTCGCAGGAAGGCTTGGATATTTTTTTCAATCTTTGCCTTTTTGAGGGGGCTCCGATAGCAAAACAAACATTTCTTGCCTTTCTGTGAAACGATGTTGATCTGCAAAGGCTGGTCTGTGCAAGTGAGCCTCTTGACTCTGATCTCTCTCGTGCTCTCCTGGTAAGGGCCCTTACTCCTGGACTCCCGGCTGCATGAAGCCGTTGCCTGATTGGTCAGTTGCGGGTGTAGCATTAATGGTTGATTTATGATGGGGGTGTTCTGCCGTTAAAGTGTTTTTTTTTAATTCCATTTATGAGGACAGTTACAAAACAACACCTTAAAAAAACAAAAAACAATTTTGCAACCTACCAACCTAGAGAGTGTAAAGATTCAAAAAGGTCCATGTGAAGGACTGCTTTCGCCTGTCGACAGGTGAGCTGTCTCGCCAGAGCTCTGTCACTGCGCTGCAGGTTCGACAGTCAGGACAGTCCCTCCTTCCCTAACAGTGGCACCTGTCTGATCCAGAAATAGTCACGCAGCTCGGTCCTCAATCAAGACTCTTGACAGTATAGCCAGCAGCTCTCCGTTCAGCTGCTGTGGGAACATTCCTGGACACCTGTGGCCGGGGCAGTCTTGGACCGTGTCCATAGTGGGGAGGCTCCTGTCCTTGAGGAACTGTTTCTTCAAAGTGCTCCAGGAACAGGGGGCAGCAGGGACAGCGGGTGGGTTACTGAAGACTTGCCTGTGCAGAGCCAGTCTGATCATCTATGCCTTGTGTGTGCACGCGCATCTCTTTCTAAGCGATCCGAGCTTTGTACTGTGTATGCTGCTGTAGTAAGTGTGGGTCTCTGTAGCTGGGGCGGGGGAGGAGTATGCTGTACTGTACTATGGTATATAGTACTATGTACTATAAAAACAGTTTGTGCTCTACAGTGGATTACTAAACATTACAACGTTGAGAGAGAGAAGGGAACTGGTGAGTTGTCGTCTTTTCGGATGGGATGTTTTAGAGCTGTATGAGGACAGAAGGGAGGGTGGCGGGCTGTGTGGGCTCCAGAGCGACACATCCATCAGCAGCAAGGTCGGCACACAGAAGCACAAATGCAACCGTTCCTGTGCCATTAGTTAAAAAAGTGGGGAAGAAGAATACTGGCAAAATCTTCATGAATTACATACTGATATGCAAACAAATGGGCAAAGCACCCTGTTCTGGATCAAGTCCACAACTGTGTTTGTAGGGACAGGGGTCCCAGTAAGTGTGTGTATTTCCAATGGCAAGGGTGCAGTCAGTGAGAGCAGAGCACATGGCACTGGTCAGTGCAGGGTACGGGTCAGTGGTGACACTTATGGCTCTGGATCTAGGGGGCAGCAGGAGCCAGCTGGTTTCCAGTCCAGCTGGGAATGGGGCAGGGAGGACCCTGGTCAGTCCCTGTTCACATTGCCCTGGAGGAGTTCTGTGGATGGTGGTGACATTATCCAGGTTTAAACCCGCGACCTCCACAAGCTTACTCTGTACCTGGAGCAGGTACTGTATATTCACTGGGTGTAAATGGAATTCTCTTCAGGACCACAGACTGTTACCTGCTTGTTGAAAACCCGGCGCCGTGAGGCCCATTCTCTGTGTTGTACTGCAGGAGTTCATAAAGAGCTCTGAAAGACACGGGGTCCAAGTTTCTCGTCCAGTTCTTCACTCGTCACAGAAGTCAATAAGCTCTTGCCTACGCAGTTCCCCGCTCCCACAACTCTCTGTGTAAAGACGTGCCTCCTGTTCTCGGTTTTAAATGCACTCGCATGCTGTTCCCACTGTTCGTTCTGAAGAAGTCTTCTGGGTTGACTTTGTCAGTGCCTCTGAGGATTTTGATTGCTTGTATGCTGCCATTCCCCTTTCAGATTTAAAACGGTTCCTGCAGCCTGGCAGCAGGGCCTTCTGTAGCTCCGACACCCAGTAGAAGTCCTTGGATTCTTAATTTTGTCAATCTTTCATTACCTGTGACTGTGTCCCTTTCAGGAAATGTAATGTAATGTTTCTTTATTAGCCCTATACAATTTCTCGCATTAGGAATTCGTCTTTTCGCATACCCCAGCTTTTCTCCATGGAGACACAGACACACAGAAAGGGAGAGAAGCTTGGGGTCAGAGCGCAGGGTCTGCCATTGTATGGCGCCCCTGGAGCAGCTGGGGTGAAGGGCCTTGCTCTGGGGCCCAACGGAGTAGGATTCCTCTGCCAGCTTTGAAGCGGCAACCTTCCAGTCACAGACGCAGATCCTTAGCCACAGAGCCACCGCTCCGCCCCAGGTGTGCAGTGAGCAAGACGCAGCCGCCAGGCCTGAGCTCCCACAGCTACAGGGGATTCTGTGCAAGCTCGCCTCTGCCCCCCGCTGGCTGGGTCGTGCTGGTGCAGGTCTTGCCGAATACCCAGCCCAGGCCGATGGTCTGGAAGACAGCCAGGAGCAGGACGCAGGTGCCGTTAGAGGCGTAGTAATCAAAGAGCTGGAACAGGTACATCCTGCCCTGCCGAGAGGGAGGGAGGGCGATTATTTTGTATCGCTGAATGGATCTCTCACTGGTAACAGTTACTGTTGCCCTGGGTTGTAGCTGGCGAGAGCACTGTGTGGGTTCTAAGTGTTTACTCCAGCCCCCGAGAAACCCTTAGAATGTGCCTTTCCTTAAAATCTGTCTTTATACTTCATTAGGATTTTTTGACTCTGATATAACCTGGCTGCAATATTCCGTCTTTTCAGATGTCCAATTCTTTGTCACTGCTGAGTTTTTTTGGTGTTCATTGTACACTAGCCTATCAATATCAATATCACTTTTGGAGAGGGAGACCTCTGTCACTTTATCAATATTTCTACAGCTGCACTGGCTTCATAAATCATGCTTCTCCCGAGATCCCTGGTGTGACTATTTGTAACCACTAGATGGAGACAGGGACCAGCTAAGAGGAGTCAAACCGGTTTGGAAAAGGTGTAGCTCGGTAGGATTTCTGTTACTGATGGAGACTTAATTAACCACTGATGATGTGTAGATGCATTGTGAATGAGCAACTGATACAAGAAACAGTCTCCTTTATTAGAATAATAATAATAATTAATAATTGCTTACACTTATATAGCACTTATCTGGACACTCCACTCAAAGCGCTTTACAGGTAATGGGGATCCCCTCCACCACCACCAGTGTGCAGCATCCACCTGTGGAGTGGAGTGGAGTGTCCAGAAAAGTGCTATATAAGTGAAAGCTATTATTATTATTATTATTATCTAGATTAAGCCTGTTTCTCTGATGAAGCTCCTGTCCTTCAAAGTGTCATATACACAATGTTAAAGGTCTCTGTGGCTGGTTCTGCCTTCGATGAGTTCACGTCCAGACAAGGATGGAGAGGAGAAGACAACAGACACAGAAGACAGGGCAGAAGCTGGCAGCAATGAGGAAGGAGACTGAGAGAGTGAAACTTGGACAGCTGGGAAGCCACAGAATGGCTGACTGACCAAGAGGGATTGAGAGGACTGATGGGGACGACTGAGAGCAAGAAAGAGATAGAAATCGGATAGAGCTCAGAGAAGACTCAGCCGAGGATCCAGGGCAGGGCTTCTGTGGAAATCCACACTGCTGTGCCTCTTTGTCACATGGTCCCTGTCAACACACCTGGACAGAATCTCTTGTCACGCACCTGGGCGGCAGCCATCGCCCTGCCACACACCTGGGCATCAATACCCCCCCTCCCTCACAGTCTGTAACCCCTCTTACACAGCAGAATGACCTTATCTCTGGCCGGTGTCGAGTATTGGTTTGAAAGAAATGCGATTAGTGTCTTGGCAGCAGCATCAAGTTAAATACCATTCAACTTAAACAAAAGTCAGACAAGCAGTGCGAGAACAAAAATGTAGCATTTTCCACAGGCTCTAGAAGTTGGCACCTGCCCCCTGTACCGGTGCGCGTC